TAATAATAATCGGTCGGCTGGATTTACTGTCGCTGCGAAGAAATGTTGCATCCCATTGCATTATCTATCGCTTTTACCACGAGGAGTACTCTGAGGAAGTGATCGGATGAATTCCAGCCGCCAAATTTCACCAACAAACATCGCGGCAAAACTCACGTTACCGTCAATATCATCTGGATGCTTGGCGGTCCACTACCGTGCGAATTACTAGGAGTTATCTTCCCCGCACAACTACTTTGTTGGATTGTTTAACACCGGCGATATTTCCGGATCGATACGAATTAAGGACCTTCAAGAAACAAGCTTACTACTTTTTAAAAGGCCGGTAACGCAATTCTCCTGACGTTGCAGTTGTTCACGGGCGGCGATTGACTCAACTTCAACTCTTATTTAAAAAATAATAATGGCTATAATAGCTTGATAATCATAACAGGTGTTTTATCCGATTTACTCAAGCAACAAGTTTGTTGACAGTTTCGACAGTTCATTGTTTTTCCTTTATATAAAGATAAGGAAGCATTCAACTGTTTAATTTTCAGATAGCGCCGAACTAATGCCAGCGCATACAACTTCAAGCGTCAACGGAGTTAATCAACAGGCTAATTAACACTCATTAACTCCATTTGAAAATTTCTGATCGTAATTTCCATCATATAGTCCCGTGGAAGACTTAAGAAGCGACTATAGAAAATTCCAGATCAACATTAGACTACGGACGTTACATGTTATGCATCCATAGATGATTTTTACGTGGTAGAGCCATGATTTAGTTATACTAGTAGTATAGTTCTAGCACGAATGGGTCGGCTCGGCCGGGAAAGGACCACGCTCTCACAGAATACAAGCGTAAAATAGTAACTTAATGCTGTATGTGTTTTAGTATGTTGAGTATAGAGAACCGAAGACCCTTATTACTAGAAACGAGGCATTCCATCTTAGTCCTCACGGATGGCAAAGCATCTGCATTTTGATTCATAATCAAAGATAGATGTAGATGTCTATGGGTCACAGCGACCATTTATCATCAGGTGGACTGTGTGCTCGTTTGTCACCCTGTACTATAAAAAAAAGCCATGGTGGTTGTAGCATGAATGGGTGGGCTCGACCGGGAGTAGGGCCACTCTCACAGAATATCAACGTAAACAGCTTAATGCTGCTGTGTCTCGTATGGTGAGTGTAGAGAACCAGAAACCCCTTTTTTACTGTAAACGAGGCATACCACCTTAGTCCTCAGGGGTGAAAACGCATCTGCATTTTGATTCTTAATAGAGGATGGATGTGAAGGTCAATGGGCCGCAGTATACACTCACCGTCAGGTGGACTGTGTTGCTCGTTTATTACCCTTATTCTATATAAAAAAATAAATCATATCCTGCCTAAATACAAAATTGAAACAATTGAGAATAGGGGGATAAGTCGCTCGCGTCCGTAGGCTTTGACCACCTCTTCCTAGGCCCACCCTACACGTGTCCCCCGGGTGGTGCTAAATGAGCGTAAAATACTCTACCCATATTCGCACCATGAGGAACCATATAAAAGAAATGGCCCCGAGTCCCCGGCGCCCCTTTAATGGGGAATGCAGGTAAACCGGCGACGAGGTTCGCCACCCGTCACGTTCTGTCTCCCGGAGAGGCGAAAAGTGGATTGCAAAGGCCCGTCTGGCTACGTTGAATGTATGTGGAGCAATGAATGATAAAATGGATGAAGTATGCGATATGATGTATGATAGAGGAATAGATGTGTTATGTGTAAATGAGACGAAAAGGAAGGGGAAGGATGTCACTACACATGGCATGTATACCGCATACTGGTCTGGTGTAGACGAGATTGAGCGGGCATGCCAGGGAGTAGGTATCATCCTTTCAGAAAGAATGGGTCAATGTGTGAAAGAGTATAAATGTGTAAGCCCAAGACTGCTATGGATACGAATGAAAGTGGGCTTAAAGAAGTTGTTTGTGTTAGGGGTCTACGCCCCAGACATGTCTAAGCCCACTTATATCCGAGAGCAGTTTTGGGAAATGGTAAGGATGGTGTTAATGAAGTGTAAGGGAAATGAAAATATTATTATGCTAGGAGATTTTAATGGAAGGGTTGGGGTGAGGAGGCTTGGTTATGAAAGGATATTGGGAACGTTTGGTGATGAAAGTATAAATGAGAATGGTGAAAGTCTCCTCACCGTATGTATGGAAAAGAATCTTTTTGTGACGAACACTTGCTTTCGCCACAAGAAGATTCACATGTATACTTGGGAAAGTGATGACGATAGAAGCATGATAGATTTCATAATTGTGGATGAAAGATTGAGGGGCGCAGTGGTAGATACAAGGGTTTACCGGGGTTCTAACGTAGGAACGGATCATTATTTGGTTTTATGCCGAATTAATGGTCTATTCAGGCCTTGGCGCCATCGGTCATCTGTGTCTACCACTACGTTACAGCGTATTAGAACAGAACGATTACAAGATGAAGGTGAGAAAAACAAGTTCAAATGTAGACTGAGAGAAAATATAAGTGGTTTGGATGAATTATGTATGAAGGAGTTAGACTTGGAGAATGTACGGCAAAATATAAAGAAAGGTTTAGTGGATGCAGCTACCGAAGTATGTGGTGTTAGTAAGAGAAAGAATGAAAGGAAAAATAATACGTTATGGTGGGATGATGAGATACGTATAGAAGTTGAAGCAAAGAAGAGAGCATGGCTAGATTTACTAGCAACAAGCTGGTAATTCTAGCGGTACGAATGACGATATTGAAAGAAAAAAGGCAGTCTTTAGACATCTTAATAAGAGAGTAAAAGAAGTAGTTGAAAGAAAAAAGCAAGAAAGAACGGATAAGAATGATGGAAGAATATCGGATAATTTCCAAGCAAATATTAAAATGTTCTGGAAACTTGTAAGAACTGCCAGGGGACATTCAAAACAGCCTATGATGAATGCTATAAGAGACGAAAATGGCTATATTCTGAATGATGAAGTTTTGAGTTTAAAGAGATGGAAGGATATTTTGAAAGCGTGTTTATGAGTGAGGAGACAACGAGTGTACTAAGTGAAGTAGAAACTCCGAAAGAAGAGGAAAGAGGTAGCGAGATAAGTATAGATGAAATAATGAAAGCAATGAAAAGCATGAAAGCAGGTAAGGCTGCCGGATATGATAGAGTTTCACTCGAAATGCTAAGGGCTGGAGAGGAAGTGGTGGCAGGCCTGCTGCACACCTTATTTAATTTATGCTGGGAACTGAAGCGGGTACCGGTAGACTGGTGCAAAGCCGTGATAGTCCCAGTATATAAAGGAAAAGGGTCGCAGCAGGACTGTAAAAACTACCGTGGCATCAGCCTTCTTAGCATTGTGGGAAAACTGTATGCTAAAGAACTGATTGAAAGGGTCATGAAAGAAACTGATGGAAAAATTTGGGACGTGCAAGCGGGATTCAGAAAGGGAATGGGATGTACAGATCAAGTCTTTTCCATGCGCATGATCGCGGAGAAGTTTTTGGCCAAAAACCAAAAGGTTTTTTGTGCGTTCATGGACTTGGAAAAGGCCTATGACAGAGTTGATAGGGATGTGCTATGGCAAACACTGAAATCATTTGGGTTGAGCGCAGGCTTGATACAGGCATTGGAGTCTCTTTATAGGGACTCTAGTGCTTGTGTTAGGATCAACGGGGTCTACTCGGACTGGTTTGACATCCATAAAGGTGTCAGACAGGGCTGTGTGGCTTCCCCGTGGCTGTTCAACCTATTTATGGACAGTTGTATGCAAAATTTGAAAGTTGAAGAATGCGGACTAAGAATGGGTGAGTTAACCATCAAATGCCTTTTGTACGCCGATGATCAAGTTATCCTTGCGTCGTCGGCGGCCGAGTTGCAAATGATGGTCACATTAATGAACAGATCATTAAAAGAAAGGGGTATGAAAGTGAACGCAAGTAAGACGAAGGTTATGGTTTTTGAAAGAGAAGAAAGTAAAACGATTTGTGAAATAAGAATAGAAGGGGAGTTGATCGAGCAAGTAGACGAGTTTGTATATTTGGGCTGCGTATTTAGCAGGGATGGGAGATATGATAAGGATATAGAACGACGAGTGAATGCGGGAAATAGAGTAAATGGGGCCCTACACTATATTGTGAAGAGTCAAAATGTGTCGAAAAAGGCACGCATGGCAATTCACAATGCTGTGTTGGTCCCTACTTTAACGTATGGTAGTGAAAGTTGGGTGTGGCAGAAGAAGCACGAGAGTAGAATGAACGCAGTAGAAATGCGGTCGTTAAGGAGTATGTTAGGGCTGAATCTGAATTACAGGGTAAGAAATTGTGTAATAAGAGAAGAGTGTGGTTTGCAAGATGATGTTGTGACCAGGATTAAGAAAGAAATTTTTCGGTGGTTTGGTCATGTGGAAAGAATGGATGAGGAAAGACTGACAAAGAAAATTTATGTTGCAGAATTGAATGGCAGAGTCGGAAAGGGACGTCCTAGGTGAAAATTTATCGACCAAATTGGCGATTTATTAAAAACTGGCCAAATTAGGAGTACCCTTAACCGACGAGCATGTATGCGTATGGATGTGAAGGAGGCGAGAGAGGTGTGTCAGGATCGTGCCAAATGGAAGTCTGTAGTCTCTGCCTACCCCTCTGGGTGACAGGTGTGAGTGTTTATGTATGTATTTTATGAAAAAATGAACTATTTTATTCATAGAACTGTAATTTTTAATTTGTTTGTATAGTATTTTATTCTATAAATAACTTTTATTTGACGATTGAAAAACTAGTAGCAAAAGTTATATTAATTTCTCGCTTTGTAAGGTTACGATGCGGTTTGTTAAGGGTAAAATTCTAAACAGGCGATAGTTCTTAATTCATTTTTAAAAAAAAAACGTCCTCTAACAAAAAATGACCAAATAATATGCTAAGCTATTGGATTTTAAAGAGTAGTAAAATAATCAAATATATAAGTACTTTGCATGGTATTTGGAATGGAAACATTAAAAATATAAAAATGAGTTTACCAGTAGTGGCCAGCTGTTGCAACCGGGAAGGCAAATCTGCCGTAGTTACTTCTGCGCCTTGTGGGTGCAGGATGTCAGGCATAGCGTTCCTCCGCCCTGTCCGTCCGGTCTCGAGGAACTCGCGCGGCACCTCCTCACTATTCCTGTCCTGCATTATTGCCATCATTCTCAGCACTGGAATGCGAAACGTTGGTCGTTATTAAGCCATTATAATCAGTGTAGTTGTTGTATTGACGGGAACCAATCTTATCATGTTCATTACGCGTTGTTGAACAAGACTTATCTATAGTATCTATGACATTAAATTATTAATTTATGTCAACGCTAGGGCTGCCAGACGTGCTTTATTTTAAAGGACGTCATCTACCCCCCCCCCAAAAATTGATCTTGTCTTAAATTTTTAATAGAAGACAAGGCATTACATATCTCGCGTATTCGCTCTACGTTCCCTCTAGTAGTTAGGTAGTTGACGTCAAAGATTTAAAAATCACGTTGAGGAGACGTGCGATGTTAGAGAGACAAATTGCGATTTGCGACATTGCGTATTAACATCGCTTTTTTATTCGGAAATGTCGCTACTGATACCATAACAATATGATGTTATCTATTTTATCCTATGTCCTTTATTTAATCTTGTCAAATCCTCTTAGTCTAAAACATAAAACGGGAGCTGTCAACCCTAGTCAGCGGTTACTTTTCGCGCCATTAGGTACAAATGACATATTTAGTTAATTTTTTTTATAAATTATTAAAATATTAAAAATGGTTTATTTATTTATGATTTAATATTATAGTTTGATGTTGAAAAACGTTTAGGAATCAATCAGAACTCAAAAAACAACAAAACATAATATAGCAGTTGAACTTCATAGAAGAAAGTGTGACATACCACACATTCCACCTGATGCAAAGTGTGAATACCAGTAACAAGGGTCTCCGATTATTGTCACTCATCATCCACTTACTGTCAGATATTTATAAGTTCAAATGTTTCTTTTATAAGCCGTAGTAGTTCGTTGCACAGTGATTTAGCCAGCCGTGTGGTGGTGGTGCAAGGGAATCCATTACCCCATATAGTTCCATAGATGTCTAAAAGACATATGAGCTTTAGACGTGGTAGAGCCATGCAGCAGCTATATTAGTAGTATTGTAACACGAATGGATCGGCTCGACCGGAGAGGAGAGTTCTTGTTTGGTAATTGCTTTTCTTTCTTTTATGCTTAAAAATATTTTTTTAATATAAAAATACAAACCGACTTCATAAGGTAACAAACAAATAGAATGTCGTCTATTGATTAAAACTACTTTTACGGATTTTATCGCGTTTTATTTATATTAATTTTAATACTCGACATTTCGGGTTCGACGTTCGGACGTTCATTCTGCGTAGATCGGACCAAAGACAATAATTAAAAAGCTGAAGGTACTCCGGGTTAACTTTGACATCGGGACATCAGTCACCTAAGTCCCCCGTGACCATGGGTGCTGGAAAGCACCCGAAACGTCGGGTATTAAAATTAATATAAATAAAACGCGATAAAATCCGTAAAAGTAGTTTTAATCAATGTATAGTGTTCGCGTAAATATAAGAAATCAGAATGTCGTCTAATTAGTGACATTTATCCCCTATTTTACTTTTGAGTATTTAGGAGGAATACTTTTGAGTATTGAGCAGTAGAGATAAATTTTTTTTTCGTACCTGAGTATGGGACATTGAAATCATTTAAATCGGTTCAACTATTTCCGAGAAATCGATGAACTTACCAAAGTAAAATATGCGTCAAATATTAAACCTTCTCGCTTTTTTGAACTCGATTATATATAGAAATCGTATCATAAGCAGTTACTTCATACAATAGAGAAGTTTGTCGAATTTCACTTTCTCGTTAAAGTATACTTTTTCTTCAAATATAATAAAAGTTATAACAAATTAAATTGCTCTCTAAATATATTACTTACTTTTAAAAAGCGTAAAATTTAAGTAGATATTAGTAACAATACAGCTGAAATAGAAAGTCAAATTATATTCACGACGACGTCTCGCACGTCTTTAATCACTAGCTCACTCGTCACGGCTGTGGTTTGTAAATTATTCCATCGTAATAATTATAACTGCAGTGTGTCATCCATGAGCCGTGGTTGCAAAGAGGCTAAGCGCTCGCTTTAGTGTCCCAGTACGCTAACAAATCAGGTTTGATCCCCTCCGGCACAAATGAAAATGTTAATTGCAATTTTAAGTGCTAATTTAGCACGTGTTCGGCGATAAAGTAAAACATCCAAATTAATTGCTCCGTAACTCTCTCAGAAATAAGAAAAGGCCTGTGCCCAGAAATAGGACGCATACAGGCTGTAACTATAAATACCAATATTTTAAACTATGTTACTTACCACGTGATTTTGGCAGAGGAAATACAAATTATGAATAACAGGACTTGAAAATTTGTGGTCATCACTAGTTTCTGCAAAAACTCGATAATAACTACTAACTACGAACTCTATCTAACTTTAATTTAAAAAAAAAAACAACCGGTCATTTAAAAAAAATTGTACTACTTCAATACGACCGAATAACTATATTCGAAATCAATTAAATACGAATTAGATAACTCAAAATCTACTGCTCAGATCTTGATTAAATTTATATGGGACCACACGAGAAACACCAGCTTTCAGATAAAAAAGAATCATCAATATCGGTTCACCCGGAGAAAAGTTCTGAGGTAACAAACATAAGAAAAGAACTTACAGTCGAATTGAATACCTCCCCCCTTTTGAAGTCGGTAAATAGTCCGAAGATACTTACATAATATGCATATTCTAAGTTGGAACTGAAAGTCCCTCATTTTACTTATGTTTCATAGTTACATTTTGAAATAATGTTTGTGTTTGATACGTTTCAGAAGTAGTGTGCTAACTTTGAAAGAATCTTTTGTTGTTAGAAAAGTAATGCGGGATGGATATCTTTATACAGTTAATAATTACTTAAAACAATTCACGCCGTCGCCGCTGATATCACAAAATTGTTAATTGCAATTTAAGTTCTCATTTACTACGCGCTTATCGGTGAAAGAAAACATCGTATATGTAGGTTGCTATAGGCTTGAAAAATAAAAAGAAATTTCACATGCCTGGGGTCAACACGGCGGCGGACTCCTGCAAAAACCTCACTAATGGAAGGCGTGGGAGCAGGGTGATGTATGTTGTAGGCGGTTACTTTACTCTTAAGCGCTGAACAACAATAATGTACGGAATCATTATCTTTATCTGCATTAGAGACGCCGCAAACACTTGTTATAGCGAATAGTCAAATACTGATTAATCGCCATTCCCTATGGCGAAGAGTTGAATAACTCGCCATTATTATTCGATATAAAAAAGGAATATAAAAAATAATTTCTTTGTTATCATAGTCCAGTCAAATAATGTCTGAAATCAAAATTTTGACATTCTACTTTGCATTTTTATATAATAAATAATATGCATTTTTTTATTTAATGATATAAAAGGTTTTCTTGTTTACAACCCCCGGCAAGGGTTGAGAATATCGTCAAGTGTTTTTTCACAATTACTCGAACACGCTAAAAGTTAGACAAATAAGTTCTGATAAAAATGTAGAGCTTAAAATTTTACAAAAAAATCAAATTTTCTTCCAGCCAAAGTTAACAGAGTTAGGGAGGCTTTAAATTTAAGGGATGAACTAAATTTTAAAAAAATCGTATGTAGTAGAAAAATAAGCGATTTTTTTAAAATTGCTTAAAAATCTAATCTTTAATTTAAGAGATACAGATATTTTTTAATGTTAAAAAAATATAACAATTTGAAATTTTCGGATTGAAATATGAATTGCTTTAAGATTAATAAATTATTTTTTTTTGCGATATTTAGATTTCTTGTAAAATTTCCTAAATTTCACGATTGGAAGAATAAAAATACCTGGTATATTTCGGCAGGTGTGAATAATTATTGTAATTTGTTTGTTCTCGTTTCCATTATCGGCACTTCCTCCAGTAGGTAAGGCTCAAACTCAAGTACCTAGTTGTCTACATTTAGTTTCCGGAAGAAAATGAGACCCATAAAATGGCGACCAATCACATCTGTCCACACATTTACTGAATTTTTTCTTTGGAAAGTAACTTGTTTCTTCCAATGTGAAATTACATATTTATAAGGCCATTCATGCAGATTATGGGAGTATGTTATACCTTCTCTAGTAAATTGTGATTCGTCGGTCCATTAAACACTTTTCGGGATAAAAATCCCAAATCTTCGATGTCGCCGTTTATTAAAAGATCAACAAAATTGTACTCTCCAGACAGGATATTTATTTTCCAAACCTTGTACTGTTATGCCATGAAACGGATATTTTCCCTTACAATGCATAGTTGACCAAACTTTCCATTTGGATATGCTCAGGTTTCGTGATACTGCTGTCACGCTTGTTGCAGAATTATTTTCAAATGCTTGCACAATGAGCTCCTCTTCGTGAACAGTTCAATCTGGATTAGTTCCAGGTTTCGAGCGTTGAACACTTTCAGTATCACCAATACGTGTTGTGGATACTCTGACATCCGTCACTCGACGATCAAGATAACGGTCTATTCGATGAAAATACTAATATTTTTTTTATTTCTGAAGACTATCGAGAGTCACTGAGAGTGGAAACCGGAAGTACCGCCCAAATTTTTGGGAAACCAAACAAGTTTTAGTGTGCCTACAGCACGAGTTTATGCATCCTTCGATCTCATTACATAAGCGTTACATTGGATTTACGTTGGCAAAATAGTGCGTTAATATGACGTTTTACAAACCATCTGTAAAACATCTTACGCGCGTCTGTTTGCGCTTATAATTGCGGTGAGCCTTGCTTTAGTATTTAAATATTCCAGACGTGGTTGAAATTGGAAGTTAGCACACCTAAAAGAGGAAGCAAACGAAGCGTAGTTAGTGAGTGATGGCAGCCGCCCATGAACATCTGTGCACCTGATGAACTGCTTTTCATGTGCTTTGCCAGCCTTTCAAGATCCCTTCATTTTTGAAAGTTCTCTAAACTACATCGATCCGTATAAATTTAATGACGACTTTAAGCTTCGCAAAGTCGTTGTGTTCATTATTATTTCATGTTGATATACCATAAGCAAATAAAATGTGTGTTTTATACTCACA